TCGCTGCACCCACCCAGTATTCCATTCGCTATCTCAGCCACAGTCCAGGATGGCGACACCAGCTACGATAACGTTCCAACGCCGATTCTCCTCGGTCGTAGCGACCAACTCCAAAAATGCAGGCAAGAACCTGTCTCTTATACACATCTAGATGTGTATAAGAGACAGGTCCAGGATGGCGACACCAGCTACGATAACGTTCCAACGCCGATTCTCCTCGGTCGTAGCGACCAACTCCAAAAATGCAGGCAAAAACAGCCAATCGAATGGCCCACTCGTCGACCATGAGACCCTGCGATTTCTTTTGGAACAACCTCAAGTCAAAGGCGAAAGAATGACCAAGAAAGTTCAACAGGATGGAGAAGAAAAGGAAATCACTGTGTGGTGTTACCCGAAAGAAAAACTTGAATCAACCAACGCCATGTATGCAAAACATGGGCTAGTCTTCACATTCTCCAACACAGGCGCCCGACTTCCAGAAATTGAAAAACGTAAGTGGATCACAAGGACAGTACAGGGGCACGAAAATCTCAGATCAACCACGGATAAATTTGCGATCCTGGTACTCAGCAAAAACATGATGATGGTAGTCTTCAAAGATGCTGATCAGGCATCAAATCTGATCAGCAGGCACACCACCTTAAACTGTAGTGGTTCAGTATGCTCCCTATCCAGATGGAAGCAGGAGATGGCACAGAAAGCCAACATCTCCCCGGCGACAGCACAGAAACAAAGGCTTATGAGGGGCCAATTCTGGGTCCAGTTCGACAACATCCCCATCAGGGGTCATCCACTGATAAAGGATCGATTGGAGGTTGAATACCCGAACAACAAAGTGTTGAAATGGGTGCTCCCCACACCAGACTTCGTAGCCCCTCATTGCGACTCCATCACTGCCGTCTTGGAAGTGAATTCCGAAACGAACCCAGAATTTCCGGAAGAATGGGAATTCTGCATCGGAGAGGAAACGTCTTCAGTCACAGTCTCAACTAAAGACGCTCCCATCTGTTTCAGATGCAGAGAAAGAGGACACCTGGGTACTGACCCWGCCTGCKCGAGATCCCCTRAACACTCGAMRGAGAAGAAACTGAGACAGAMCATGCTGGTGGAAGTGGAAGAAGYAAARGGCATTTGGTTCGTCAAYGACCAGGACTACAATGGCTGGGTCTTTGACGATACTATTGATGATCCATAGTGGATCTGGACATACAGCACGAACKCGACAACAAAACAACCAGACATTTYCCYCCCCTYRGAYAGCAKATGGCACGCAGTGGGAGCTAAAAAGGTRACWGGGATACCAGGGAAAATCCACAAAGACCAGATCATYGACCCACGAGCAATCAGGGAAGAAAAGAAACACRAGGATCTRMTGTGGGACATGGAGACAATCCGAATCCAGACAGCAGAAGCATGCCAAAATACCAACCTGGACAACAACACTTTGATTCAAGTAGCTAAACAGACCCTCGAGCACCGCCATCCCAAAGCAGAGGTCCCCTCCCCGCTCAAACGGAATGCCTCCCCCTCCTCCAAAGGAAACCAAGAGGACAGAGCAGGAAAGAAGAGGAGGGCAACAGAGTCTGAGCAATCCCCCACAGGCGACAACTCCTCCGGGGCAGACCCGAGCTCACCAGCAGCCTCGCAGACAGGAACGGACATCTCTCCAAATATCCCATTCCGTGGCTGGAGGAGTACCTGCAGAGAGCAAAGTACGAGAGAGAAAAGGAATTCGACACTTGGAGAAGGCAGGGAAACCGGCCACTGGTAAAACAGTGGCAGGAATCCCCCACTCCAAGAAACTTTTTCGAACTGCTGCGCATGAAATCTGAACTCTCGGAATTCAGTGCTTTCAGATACTATGAAAAGAAGCGAGAGAGAGATTCTGCAGAGACTGACACAAGATTCGACCCCCGGACATCAGCGGACTCCATTCGGGACATGGTTTCCAAGAACTGGAAACCGTCGAAAGGGAGGGAAAAGAGGCCAAGGCCCCCCCCCAAAGACGAGGCAGGCAGCAAGAATGAACAGCGCCGACTCACACAGGAGATCGCAACAGGCAGCAAGAATGAACTCTCGGAATTCAGTGCTTTCAGATACTATGAAAAGAAGCGAGGGAGAGATTCTGCAGGAACAGAGACTGACACAGGATTCAACCCCCGGACATCAGCGGACTCCATCCGGGACATGGTTTCCAAGAACTGGAAAACCGTCGAAAGGGAGGGAAAAGAGGCCAAGGGCCCCCCCCAAAGACGAGGCAGGCAGCAAGAATGAACAACGCCGACTCACACAGGAGATCGCAACAGTGGCAGCACAGACTAAGCGACTGTTCGACCGGAACATGGACTACAAAAAGGAACAGGGGGAAAATTTCATCGCAGTCTGGATGATAGCGGAAAACAAAGCGCCCAGCGTCACTAAATCAGCAGCAACTGATAGGGGGACCACGAGGGCAGTGAGACCACCGATCTCAGTCCGGTTCAGAAGCAAATTTAACGAGTGGCAGGTGGCCACTGACGCAGCCTTCTCAATCCCCACCCTTGATGATGACAGAGCCCTGGCAAAGAGCATCAGGGACAACATCTCCGCAGAAACCCCGCTGGGGGTGTTCGGGCTCCCACCACGAGAGTTGTCAGTCGAAGGGAAGRYGATGGATGAGCYGTTACTTACCCCCTTCGACCCCATCCTGGTCAAGTTTGAGGAAAAAGCAAAACTCAGCGATGGCCTGACATGGAGGGCATGGGA